GCATAGGCAATTAACAAGCGAATTGTTTCCTTCTTGTAACTGGGGAGAACACTTCATCATAATTGATCCCACATTTTTTATATATCTTTTAGCCATGAATCGTGTCTTGTGTCTTTCTATTTTACCATTTGCATTCAGCTTTTTCTTGAAAACCCATCTTACTCTGATGGGCTATCCACCTTTCGGCAATTCCCTCAGCTCCCAAGTTCTATTGCGTTCAAATACATGAATTTCCTCATCCATGGTTGTTCACCACTTCTCATCTATAACCTCTTCAAAAATAATGTTCTCAGCATCAACCAATAGGCAAGAAAGATGTACCTCATTTGACGAGTCATAAAAGTCCTGCAACGATCTTCACCTTGGATACCTCGGTTCATCCTCATCATCAATACTTTCTGGTGCTGAAATATTTTTTGGAATTTCTAGTTGATGAACATTTTGTGTCTCTTCCTTTCCATTGCTCCAATTCCACTATGCTTCTTCATCAAATTGTATATCCCGATTTATTATAATTTTCTCATATGTTGGATCAAGTAGCTTGTAGCCTTTTTTTTCCTCATCATAACCAATGAAAACATATTTTTTCCTCTTATCTTCCAGCTTTGGCCTTTGCTGATCCGGATGTGTACATATGCAAACCAAACACTTTAAAGTGTGACACCATCGGCTTTTTACCACTCCACGCCTCTTGCTGTGTTGAATTTTCTAGCTTTGAGTGAGGACAATGGTTTTGCACGTACACTGCACACTGCACAACCTCTGCCTAAAACGTTTTTCGCCAAATTCTTGTTTTTTAACATAGATCGAACCATATTGAGTATTGTCCGTTTCTTCCTTTCCGTGACACCATTTTGTTGGGGAGAGTAGGATGTGGTTAGGAATCTTCTTATCCCATGTTCAATTTGTAAACTCACTTAAATTGTACTCGAAAACTCTATCGGACCTTAGTGACTTTGATAAATTTTTCAGTTGATTTTATTACCAAAAATTTGAACTTCACGAAAACTCCAAAAGTTTTAGCCTTATCCTTCATAAAGTAAACTGAAGTTTTTCATGAGAAATCATCGATGAATGAGATAAAGTACCTTTTTACCAGTCATGGATTTGAAGTAATTGGCCCACAAATGTCGGTGTGAATTATTAGTTCAAGAATTTCCTAGCTTGGTATGCAGTCTTCTTTGGAAATGAGGTTCTTGAATGTTTGTCCGACACAAACACTTCACAAATTCATCGTTTTAGTCTATATCGGGCAGCTGTTGTACCTAATTTTTCTTTGTGAAGGTTTTCAATCCTCAATAATGTAAATGGCCGAATTTAAAATGCAAAAAAGTTGCTTTCGTACCAACATCTATATTCAAGCATTTTCCTTGTGTAACCTACAAGTTAAGTTTATACATCCAATTTTTACCCATTTCAACATGAGCCACTTATCCTGGCTTGTCATTGAGATGCAATATCCGTCCCTTCATAAACACTGAATAACCTTTCTCCATGTGTTGACCCACGCTCAAAATGTTACTCTTTAAATCCGGCACATAATAAACATATCTTCAATTGTTCTTACCAAATCATTGTTTTGCATGAAAAAATTGTACCTTGTCCCTTGACTCAAATTTTCGATGCATCTCCAAAAGATACATAGCCACCTTTAGCCTATCTCAAATCTTTAAATAGGTGTTTAAGGCCAAACATATAATTGCTTGCACCCGTTTCGAGGTACCATCTGACGCCGTTGTCGTTGTTGGAGTTATTTTTACACCATCATGGGGATACTTTTATTCTTCTCATTTTCAATTTCAATTGTAAGATTTTTGTTTTCTTCTACCTTTTTCTTGCTCCAACAGTCTTTCGCATAGCGCCCAACTTTCCCACAGTTATGGCACTTATTAGGATTACAATTTCTCGCAAAATGGCCATGCTTTCCACAGTTATGGCATTCAACTGACTTGTATCCTTTACCATGTCCCCGACGTTTCCCGTTTTGTGAGTTGGATTGTTCATTTTCTTCTTGATATCTTCCTGGACCACGGCCTCTAGCGCTGCGACCACCCGACCACATCCTTGTCCACAAGATTGAGAAGACAAAAATGCCTTATCATCTTTAAAAATGCCTTTGTTTCGAGGGCTTCCTCGAGTGTCTTATCACTCATTTTCTTTTTCCACAACTCATGAGCGTCAAGAGACCCGGCAAGCTCATCAAATGTCAAGGTTGCAATGTCCTTTGACTCTTGAATACACAATGTTGTTGAATTAATCCGTGAGGGACCGTAGTATTTTCTCCACTGATCGAGTATCATCCAACGTCTCGCCATTTCTCTTGAGCTGAGTCGCCACAGCTTGCGTACGAGTTATGTATTCGGACGCACTTTCTGATTCCTTCATCTTCATGCTTTCAAACTCACTCTGAAAACTTTGGGGACGCATTTGTTTCACCCTATCGGATCTTTTAAAATATTTTTCCAGCTTCTCCTATGCTTCTTTGGAGGATTTCGCATGAGAGATCTTTTCAACGTCATTCATCGACAGCTTAAAATACAAAATGAAGAACAATCTTGTCCTTCTTGGATGTTTCTCTCAATACCTTCAGTTCATTTTCCGTTAACCCATCAACTCTTTTTGGTTCATCATAACCAGATTTGACCACATCCCACACATCGTTGACTCCGAGCAATACACGTATCTGGATACTCCAATTTTCATTATTTGATTTTTTTAGCCGTGGAATCATCATCTTTATCGGATTGCTAGAACTCATATTGGCTTCGATACCAATTTGTTAAAATCTGATTTTTTTTTGTTTTCCAAGAAATCAAACATGAACCTAAGAAGAGACAATATCCTGTAAGAGATTTTCGAGTATCCAAACATGATCCCCAATCAGCATCAGAGAAGGTAGTCAAGCAAAAGGTACCTTTTGATGGGAAAAGTAGCTACAGAGCCTTAGTGCCGCTAAGATATCTGAGAACACGTTGAGTTGTTTTCCAATGCAGTGTTGTGGGAGAAGCCCTAAATTGAGATAATTTTTGTACAACATAACAGATATCCAGCCTAGTTATGGTGAGGTAGAGGAGACGAACAACAAGCCTTCTATAATGTTCAGGATGCTGAAGAGGGTTTCCTTTGTCCAGTTGGAGTTTACAACCTGTTGCAAAAGGAGTAGTACAAATGGCTGCCTCTTGCCAGCCACACTCATGTAAGATATCTTCAATGAACTTAGATTGAGAGACAACAAGCCCAGAGAGAGTGTGCTCAATCTGAATGCCAAGGAAGAGATCCACTTGTCCTAGATTCTTAATGGTGAACTTCTTATGCAGAAATTCTTTGAGTTCAGCTATATGAGAAAGGTTAGGCCCAGTAAGAAGAATATCATCCACATAGATGAGTAAGCTGGTGAGATAGTGGTCACGGTCAAGAGTGAAAAGACAATGATCATTTGTTGACTGAGTGAAGCCATATTCAATAACTTTGGCAGTAAATTGCTTATACCACTAGCGAGGGGCTTGTTTAAGGCCATAGAGAGATTTCTTGAGTCGACATACTTTACCGGCAGGGATCTTGCTTCCTTGTGGTGGAAACATGTAAAGTTCTTCATCGAGGTGACCATGGAGAAATGCGATGTTCACATCAAGTTGATGAACCTCCCAATTTTTCATAGAGGCCATGGCAAGTAGAATTCGAACAGTAACAATCTTTGCCACTGGAGCAAAAGACTCCTTAAAATCTTTTCCTAGAATTTGCAAATACCCTTTGGCAACCAACCTCGCTTTGAACCTTTGGATGCTGCCATCTGAATTTCTTTTAGTTTTATATACCCATTTGCAAGAAATAGGATGGGCACCTGTAGGTAAGGTGGTAACTTCCCAAGTGGCATTTCTTTCCAGTGCCTCCAATTCTTCTTCCATAGCAGTTCTCCAGGCGACATTTTTGTGGGCCTGTACATAGGAGGTTGGTTCCTGCATATTAACAGTAGAGATACTATGCCAAACAAAATGAGATGATGAATCAGAATGGGTGTTGCAGGTATGGACAGGGCAAATGTAATCTTTCATCCAAATAGGCTTTTTGATTTGTCTCACTGGCCTAGCAAAAAAAAAAAAAGAGAAATGACGGAGGAAAAAGATGAGGTAAGTGCCATAGGATCAGATGTAGGGGCAGAGGATGGTAAGTCCATATTGGTTGGGGAAATAGGATGGGCAGTGCTGAAGAAGGAAGAGGGACTTGAATTGATTGGTGGGATAAAGTTATGATCTTTTGGGCTAAGGTTTGGAGTGCTGGTTAGGAAAGAGGGTGCATGAGCAGGAGAAATATCTGATGAGGTAAGGGAAGTTAGGTATGTAGGGATGAATGTAGGAATGGATGGAGGCATGTCAGAGGACTGACTGACAGATGATATCTCTGGTTCGGCTCTATAGGGAAACACATGTTCATAGAACTCAACATCTCTAGCAATAAGGCATGTTTTGTTCTCAATGTCAAAAAGTTTTTACCATTTCCGACCAGATTGGAAGCCAAGAAACACACATTTGTAGGCTCTTGGATCAAGTTTGGTTCTTGTTGACTTGGTGTTAACTGCATAGCACAGGCAACCAAACACCTTAACGTTGGTTAGATCAGGTTTTACAGAAAACACTCTTTCATATAGTGTACACCAAGCTAAGATAGATGATGGTAATCTATTAAGGATATAGGTAGCATGAAGAAGGGCATCACCCCAAAATCTAGAGGGTAAATTGGATTGGAACATGAGTGCCCTAGTAAGTTGCAAGAGATGTTTGTGTTTTATCTCAGCACGCCTATTCTGTTGTGGGCTGTAGGGACAAGAATGCTGATGTTCAAACCCAAACCTATGGCATAAAAGTTTACACTGTTGGTTTAAGAACTCAGAGCCATTATCTGTTCTAACTTTCTTGATAGAGGTGTGGAATTGAGTTTGAGTAAAAGTTAAAAAGACTTCAATGAGGTGAAAGATTTTTTTTTTTGTTTGGTAAGAGATATGTCTAGGTAGCTCTGGAATAATCATCAACAATAGTCAAGAAGTAATGACACCCATTCATAGTAGCTGTTTTGTAAGGACCCCAAAAATCCATATGCAAAAGTTCAAAAATGGCTTGAGCTTGAGAACTGCTTTTATTAAAAGTCAATCTAGATTGTTTTGCTTTGTGGCATACATCACAAGGAATATTTTTCAAATAAGGAGATATAGATAAATGTTCAAAGGTGACATAAGAGGGATGACCAAGCCTTCTATGCCAAATGAGGGCTTCATCCGATGATTTGAGTTTAGAGGTCAAAGTGTTGGAGTACTGAGGTTGGCAGTTTAGGATGTAAAGGTTCTGTTCTTGCTTCCCAGTGGCCAGAATAAGGTTAGAGCTCAGGTCCTAAACGATACAAGTAGCAGCTGTAAAGGTGAGTTAATAAGCAGAGTTTTTGAGTAAGGCACTTACAGATAATAGATTGAACTTGAAGCCAGGCAAGTAGTAAACATGCACAATGTAAGAATTTATGGTTACAGGTCCTGCAGAAGAAACAGTGAGGAAAGATCCATCTAGAAGGAAAATCTTTGGTTTGATGGTTACTGGTTTCAGGTAATCAAAGAGTTCATCATTTATGCATATATGACAAGTAGCACCACTGTCAATAAGCCAAGAAGAATTATCCATTTGTACAAAACCAATAAAGATCTTACCTGAGAACTCGATGGATGAGTTAGCAAATCTGATTGGAGATTCAGAGGTGTTTTGCATCAGTAATTTCTGCACCTCAACTTTCACAAGAGCATTGATGTCCAGATTTTCTTTAAATGGCTCTTCAGATTTGCGGTCTCCAAGCTTCATTTTTGCAGCAGCATTTATGTGTCCTCCTCTCTTGTCCATCAATTCTTTATGCCAGGCAGGAATCTCATGTAGTTTGAAGCAGGTATCCTTAGCATGGCCTTTTCTTTTGCAGTGTTCACAGATCCAATTTCTTTTGTCCATCTTCTTATCAAAACATTTCTTGCTTTGAAGTTTCTTGTTATCCACCATAAAGATATTATACTCAGCTGCAATGTAAATCTCTTGTTTTTTTCTCCACTTGGCTAAGCATTACATATGTTTTACTCATGCTGGGTAGAGGATCCATCACAAGAATTTGTCCCCTTGAGACCTTATAGTTGTCATTCAGCCCAGTGAGGAACTGAATGAGCAAGTCCCTATCATATTTTTTTGAGATCTTGTGACTAAGATCACAAGTACACTCAAGGGGAGGATCCACAGTGAGTAGTTCCTCCCACAGCTCCTACAGCTTTGTGGCATATGCTGTAATGGAATCATCTCCTTGCTTTAATGGGCTAATGGATCTTTTAAGTTGGTAAATAAGAGATCCATTTGATTGGCCATATTTTTCTTTTAAGTTGTCCCATAAGCTTTTCGCACTATGAATGAAAATAAAATCACCTTGTAACTCTGGTGTGATTGAGTTTATGATCCAAGCCCTTACAAGAGCATCCACCTCAATCCAGGCATCATATTCTGGAGATCCTTCCACTGGCTTAAGATGTTTGCAAGTAATAAAACCACTTTTTCCTTTAGCAAGAAGTGCATTCCACACTCTATGACTCCAGCAAAAATAGTTGTTGCCACTAAGAGGCACATTAGACAGGGACAAGTTAGGTTGATCACCACTTCCGAGAACCATAGCTTTAGGCAGGAGAATGGATTGATTAGCAATATCTTGAGCAGGAATCTTTGCAGCTGCCTGAGATGCTGGATGAGGGGTTGACTAAGAGGTGACCTCATTATCACCGGTGGAGGAATTGACATCCATTTACTCAACACAGAAACAATTCCCAGGTATCAATTGTGCTCTGATACCATGAACAAAAACAAACTTAACACACATAATGAATTCAAAGATAGGCACAACACCAAGCTAAGAATATTATATATTTCACACTAATAAAACATAATTTGTACAACATTCTTTTTATACACTGAAATCCAACAAACTCCTCAACTGAATCTACCAAAGAGTGACACCTGGCATGCTGGTCCCAGGCAAGGCTAACAAACTTAAATAAAAGATTATATAAGGTATGCCACATGGAAGATGCGGGTACTGCTATAGATACATATATACAATTCTAATAGATGCTGGAACATTCTACGCAATATCAACAATGCTTAACAAACTTGCAAATCTAATTCCTTATCTTTTAATTCATTCATGATTGTTTCAAGAGTTATACTATCTCTATCATACTTAATAACATATTTGTCATCAAAAAATGATTCAGGAATGACATTCAAAAGCACAATAGGGGTGTATTCATCAATATTCTTGTCTCATGTTTGTTTGATATCTTGAACTAGTTTAGTAAAAATAGCAAGATTCTTATCTACTGATTGAGTTAAATCAAGTTTAAATCTGAAAAATATTTCAAGCATAAACAATTTATTCGGCAAAGACCTTTCTATATAGATTTCTTCAAATCTCTCCTAAAGTTCTTTTGCAGAATAATATTTTCCTACCTTCTACTCAAGATAAGTTTAATATTATCAATGAATATGGATGTTCATCTAAGTCAATTTTCTCTCTAGTCAATAAATAATTAAAATCACCATCATTAGCTTTGACAATGTTTTGTGCTACTACGACATTTTTCATCTTTTATTGTGAAATAGAAAAATCAATTTTTCCGTCAATGTGTAATAGACCCGGTTGTCATAATACAAGTATCACACATAGGTCACACAATTGCAGCACAGGAACCGGTAATAAGAATCGACACCAAGTCACCCAAAAACCACACGGTAATCCCACAAAGGAACAAAGAGGACACGAAGTCTATATGGAGGGAGGGTATCGGAACTTATCCGGTAATAAGAATCGACACCAAACGATGGCTTCTCTCTCCTACTCCCACAACCAAAACCCAGAATACCCATCTATATATATAGCTAAGTAAGAAATAGATAAACCCAAGGATTTAGGAAAAACATCTTGTCGATCAACCACGAAGATGTAGGAACTGATTTCCAATTTTGAAATCGCGAAGTTCTCCGAACGGGAGGAAGAAGTTGAGGAAGGATTTAGTCTATCAATTCGATGAGATTGTAGGAAAAGAGAGATCTCATATTAAGCAAATCACACCGGGTCAGATCTATTGTTGGATCAGGTTTGGGTCAGGTCGGGTCTAGACTTGTCAATGAGACGGATATTGTCCGGATTCTGAAATTCTAGATCTGGATCTGTCCTCCCAATACAGTTCCCCGATTCGGAACCGGATCTGCCGGATCTGCTCACCATTTCCGGTCATGTCGGATCTGTCCACTTCGGATCCGGTCTTTGTTGGCTATTTTGTTGTTATTGAATCTATTCGAAGATAAGGAATGTTGTATCGAGCTTTTTTTGGGAGGGGTCGCGTGGGGTGCGCGCTCGAGAAAGCCTATACGATATTAAACGAAGTGTGAAATAATATGATGAATATGAATATTATGTTACATATTGTTTGAAAATTATTATTTTCAAATGAGGAATTAAATTTAATTCCTCCATAAAACCTTATAAATTCAAATTTATTTAAATTTGAATTGATAACTTTAATGAATAAATTGAATCTTTTCAATTTAAAATTAAAGTTGCATATTTTCATGAAAAAATTGTGTCTTTTGGATTTAAATTCAAAATTCAAATCTTTTAAATATATTATATTCTTGTCTTCACAGAATTGACAGAGAGAAAAGAGAATGGGAGAGAGACAGAGACAGCGACAAAAAGTCACTGGGTGGATTACGCAGAAATACTCTCAGTCTCTTATTTCTCAATGATTCTGTAAAATATATTCTTCATATGTAAATAATCTCCCAACCTTTTACTTTCTCAATTTTTTGCCTAAAATTCGAGTGTTATTTTGTTTTATCCTCGTACGAATGTCGTGTAACCCAGGGTAGGGTCAAAATATCGTATAAGAAAAGCGAATCTACGCGACTCAAAGTATATCCAAGATCATTATACCCTGCAGAATTCGATTTATTCATATTTTCATTAAATCCAGATTATTTCTCCAAGAGTCTTGGGTATCCTTATACACATCAATTTTGAATTTATGTTCAGGTCAATGTATAAGTTCTATCAATATTTTAAAAACTCCGACAATTAACTTTTAATTGATAAGATTTTTCAATCTTAATATTTAAAATCATCTAATTAACAATAAATTATAATATAAAACATATATACTAAATCATCTATATTAAGTATATAACTATATAAATATATTAATAAATAATATTATATATAAACATCCGGATTCAGATCAGAACTATAAATACTTAGATCCGGAACCATATAAAACGAACCTCAATCTAAATACGGATCTCGGATCCATATGAGTTTCCATATCCGAGAAAATTATGTCAAATGCGGATCGGAGTAAATTGACAGGGCTAGTCGGGTCGAACTGAAATAGAAACCCAACAGATCATAACTTTAAAATATAGAAAATACCAACAATGAATGGAAGAAAACTATGCAAATCATAAAAATTCTTACAAAAACTATATCATAATTTGAATTAAAAAGTTAGACAGATTAAAAATTTTACCATTAATATAAAATTGAAAATTAAAATAAATATGGGAGAAATTCGTGGCTGGACATGAGAAAGAAATTATAAATTATTATCTTTTGTTATGACTCATCACATTTGTATTTAGGTGTCATATAATAAGTTTGCCAAGTCATTGATTTAATGACTCATTATGTAGTAATACTAGTATAAATATTCTTGTGTGGTGAAATGAGAGATCATATACAATTATCACTCTCTCTCTCTATCTCAATTTATCTCTCTATTTTGTCTCTCAATTCCTCTCCCTATATCTATATATATAAATATATACATACTATAATATATATTATAATATCTATATAATTATATATTATTATTAGTAGTAGTAGTATTGTTATATTTCGTTATATATTATATAACACGTTATCAGCACGAGGCTTTTCCGAGGAAGTGCACATAAAAGATAGTGTATTTCTTTTGTTGTTGTTTTTGTTGTATTACTCGGAAGGTTGCGGAAATTCTGAAGAAGAAATATGAATGTTGAACACGTTATAATGAATAATATGGAAGACAGTTCATGTCTCATTGATAGTGCATCAACGCACACCATTTTGAAATATAAAAAATATTTCACCAACCTGAAGTTGGGAAAAATGAGGTGAATACCATAAGTGGTTGTGCGAAGTTAATTGAGGGCTCTGGAAGAGCGATAATATTTCTCCCGAAGGAGTAAAACTTGATATCCAAAATGCACTATATTATAGTAAATCTCAAAGAAATTTGTTAAGTTTTAATGATATTCGCAGAAATTGATATCATATTGAGACATCAAGTGTGGCAAATACTGAATTTTTGTTGATTACAAAATTCATTGATGGACATAAATATATATTAGAAAAATTGTCTTCATTGTCTTCCGGATTATATTGCACAAAGATTAATGTGGTTGAGACATATCTGGTAGACAAGAAGTCTACAGATTTTATGATTTGGTATTATCGGTTTAGGCATCCTGGTAGTACTATGATGAGACGAATTATTGAAAATACCAATGGCCATAACTTGAAAGATCAAAGGGTATTAAATACAAATGAGCTTATATGTGTTGCTTGCTCAAAAGGGAAGTTAATAACTAGACCATTACCGGCAAAAGTGGGAACTGAATCCCCTTCATTTTTAGAACGGATTCAGGATGATATATGTGGACCTGTAGATCCACCATGCGGACCATTTCGATATTTTATGGTACTTATCTATGCATCTACTAGATGGTCGCATGTGTGTTTATTATCTACCCGCAATTTGGCATTTGCGAGGTTGCTTGCTCAAATAATTAGATTACGAGCTCAGTTTCCAGACCCAATAAAGAAAATTTGTCTTGATAATGCTGGTGAATTTTCATCTAAGACATTTGATGATTATTGCATGTCTATTGGAATTGACATTGAACATCCTGTACCTCATGTACATACTCAAAATGGTCTAGCTGAATCACTTATAAAAAGGTTGCAATTAATTGCAAGACCTATGCTAATGAAATCCAAACTTCCTGTCTCTGCTTCGGGATATGCAATTATGCATGCAGCAACACTGATAAAATTAAGACCGACAAGCTATCATAGCTACTCCCCAGTACAATTAGTGTACAATGAAAAGCCCAATATTTCACATTTGAGAACTTTTGGGTGCGCGGTTTATGTGCCAATTGCACCGCCCCAACGTACAAAAATGGGCCCCCAACGGAGATTGGGGATATATGTCGGGTACGAATCACCATCTATCATTAAATATCTTGAACCATTAACTGGTGATTCGTTTACGGCTCGTTTTGCTGATTGTCATTTTGACGAGTCGCATTTCCCGATATTAGGGGGAGGAACTGATCAACTAAAAAAGGAAATTAGTTGGAAAATACCATTCAGTTTTCTTGATCCTCGTACAAGTCAAAGTGAATTAGAGGTACAAAGAATTTTATTTGCAGCGAATAGCAAATCAGTTGCCTGATGCTTTTTGTGACGCCAGCAGGGTCACTAGATCTTATATAGCTGCTGAAAATGTACCTGGTAAAATTGTTATTCCTGGAGACAAAATACAAAGTGCTAATGAATCAAATATACGCCTAAAG